GCAAGGCCCTTGAACTGAACTGTAGTAATTTCAACTTGGGGCTCCTATAATTTAAAAGTTAAGTAAGACCGTTGGGGAAAGCAGTGACAGCTCAACTGAGCAACTGCCCGGCACACGTTCCGACTATTCATCATCCAGGGACGCTTCTTGCTGTCACGATGAGGAGTGACTATAAATTATTGGCTGTCAACTTCAAAGTCACAAAAAACGAAAGTCCAAAAACAAAGAGAATGCTTTCAGGCCATGGCTCCAGCGTTTTAAAGTACAACAGGATCTGTCGCTCCGAGTAGATTTCTGTTAACAAGCACGAGTCACGGCCTTTGAAGCGTAACAACACTATCGTGGGTATATCATGTGATTTCGCACCACTGTCTGGATAATAGAGGACATTACAACGGCTTTCGAGCCCAATTATTCACCTATGATACTAGTAATTTACACTTATAAGACGCCATTTACAAAAGTCTATACAGAATGAATTCCGAAATCACAAAGATGTAGGGATGTGTACATGAAAAATATGGGCGAATTAATTTATAGACCAATATCGATTCTTAAGATAAATAAGATACAATCTTTGAACCGCGTAAGATGGTTTTCTGTTCGTATGTTGTATGTAATGGGTTCGCATTACCCGCTTTCCAGCCAACAGACGCAGCCACTACATTTACCACAGTTAAAGAGGGACATTTTTCTAGAATCCAATCGTGGAAATTCAATGCTGTACGAGGGGGGTGAACCCATTACACTCCTGATGAAAATGCCAAGTTATTTTTTTTAAAGTGTAACATCTCATTTTCGCTGATGGTCATCAACACAACTGCTGCAATGCACAGACAGTAAATATAGCTTGTCGAGAGAAAATTACTTTCCTTGAACGGTATTTCAAATGGAAAGTGTGACACGGTAGAATTCCTGAGCACTGCTCTTCATCACACTGGCCAGAAAGGCAGCCAAGTGATGGGCTGTGTAAGCAACGGAGACCCCAAAGAAACAAAACAATTTGGATCTTAGGCACTGGGCCATGACAATCTTAAGCCAGTTCAAATTCTTCCACTGCGGTGCACAACGCTTCGAGATGCAAGGTCGGCTCATTCGAGGGCCCCGACTCTGCCTCTGTACCAGCGCGGCAGGACAAGCTGCGACCTCCAGACGGACGTTAAGCATCCCTGAGCCTTCACAAGGAGGCAACGTTTAACGGTCATGTCCTATTAAAAGTATATACAGTACATTGATTAAAAAAAAACGTTACAGAGCTCGCTAATGCATTTTCAGGTTGCTAGGAGCTTCTTCAACTGAGTTCCTGAAGAAGCTCCCAGCACGTGGAACGGAATGTCGGGCGCTGTGGCAAACAGCGCGTGGTGCGACCAGAAAACAGCACATCAGAGGGCTGCTAAACAGCACAGCCACAAAAACCTACACGGTGCGTTAGTACAGACATGACGTCATTGTAAAGCACACGATCGCGTGCTGCTTAATTGAGCCTCCTCTGTCAAATGCGTCATAAAATGAACAGTGATTTTATGTAAACGCACTTACACGTAAACAGAGCTATACGTTACAATTATATAAATTATAACAAGTTAATCATGACAAGTTGCTGGTTACAAACCAATAGAACATACATGCCATGGCAATAAAATAAACCACAAACATCGCACACGGTCACTTTTGTTCACTCAAACCTGCCGCTCTCATTATCGTCGCCGTTTCTGAACATGCCCCGCTAGCCAAGTGACATTTCACAGAATGAAAAATCTGTTCAAAGTGAAGGAAGATTATAAAAAAAGTGTGGAGGTGTTCTCCCGCATTCTGCCATTCATTAATTTTAACAGCCAAGGAGCAACACTCAGTTTGCACTCTGCAAATTTTAAAATTGCAGAGTGCAAACTTGTGAATATGTTCCACTGCTTAGAAGAAAGGAACGTCTTCACTCACTCCCATGTCATTTGATAACGAGCGCGCACACAATTTGTAGTTGCGCTGCTCTGTGAAAATCTGCTCGACGAGCACTGAAAGTGACGCAGGGGTGGAATGTTCCATTTTGTTTCTCCCAAGTCCAGGCAATAAGTCTTGCGCCGATGCCTTTTGTTAGACTCGTTGGATTAAATGCGACCAAGACCAAAAAAAAGCCGCTGTGCTTTGAATCTGGCCTCGGGGTTGGATGAAAAGGGCACTGCGGACGGCTTCTTTGAGGCCGTGTTTCCAAACACAGCAATCATTTGCAAGCCCTCGTTGTGTCACAAACCCCAGTCACCGAGTTGCCAGCAGCGATGGCCACCCGGCCAAACAATGGAATCTCTCGCTGCCGGCAGCACGTCTCAGGTCTCGTCACTCCGACGCCTCGACTCCTCTTACCGAGCGAACCAACTTTTACGAGCAATAACACATTCAATACCTCTTTGGGCGCCGACGAGTAATAGAGCCAAATGTAATACCCCGACACCTTTGACCTGCCTGTGACCTCTAAACAAAACGGACAATTTTGTAAGACATTTTAACTAGCGTCTGCCAAGCATATGGAACATTATACTCGCAGTCGCCCTAGACGGGCACGCTGGCACATTAATGAAGAGTGGGCGGACACGGCGTGCCTTCGCTAAGCACCCGACTTTCGCCACCCGAGCTCACTGCTCATCTGTTCTCATTCACGGAGCTGAGGCCCCCGAGGACGGCATGGCAGAGAAGTCTGGGGGGTGACACGTTAAGACACTGGGCAAGCGGCAAGTAAAGCGGCGGGCACTCGAGTCCCACGCACTGGCACCAGCTAGGACCACAGGCACGGGGCTACCTCGCCCCGATTGTTGGCCAAGTAGCGCTGCTGCTGAGTGACGTTCGAAGCAGGCCCGATAAAAGTGTTAGCGCCTCTGTTCAGACAAGCAGAAATGGCCTTTTTAGGCCCCCAGAGGTGTGGCGTTAGAGCCCATCACACTTGAACAAACAAACTCCTTTTCAGAGCGCAGCGCTGGAGGTATAAGCCAAGGCACGGGTACATATCCAGTTTCAAGTCGTGGTTAATCAACCGAGGAGAGGCAGAGAAAGAGCGGCAGAAAAAAACCCATTTAACGAATGAGCGCTCTTCAGATAAGCTAAATCATGTGCCAATAGCGCAACCTGGGTAAAGCCGAAGCAGCCGGAAGGGAACGGCTGCGGGGAGGGAGGAAGGAAAGGCGATACAGCCGTGGCTGCCACCCGGCCCCTGGGGATGTTTCTCCAATAGCGAGATGTCCTGGCGAGCAACTGTAATCCACGCCCCGAGTCGGCTCAACCACCTGCCATACTCCCAGCCCAGGCTGAGTTTAAATCCCCCTAACAGCGGGTTGCAGGGCTCTACGGGTGGAGCTGGATTAGATGTTGCCCGCCCCAAACTTAGCTGAGACAAAACGTCCCATCGGTCTTCCAGTCGTCCGATTCATCGCCCCTCACAGCCACCGAAATCGTCTACCTCGTCTCCGTCTTGGGTCATCTGCTATCTGGCGGCTAATGTTGTTTTTTGCTGGGGAAATATAATTGATTTCAGTGTTAAAATAAAAACATTTCTCTTGATTTGAATTGATGCCTTTTTAATTAAGTGTATATTTTATAATACTGCAAGAACAGTTACAACAAAATATGCAAGTCAAGCTTAATACTAGGAATTTTTTAAAAAAAATTACAACTTGGAAAAAAAAATTCTCCAAGAGGCGGAAATGAAGATTGACTCGTTAATATTTTCCAAAAAACACAGTTAAGTAGAAACACAACCAAATGAAAATGCCGAATCATTGGGTCGTGTTCAGAGCCACGGGTTTAACAGAGCTTGGAGCCACGGCACGGCCACCTGAAGAAGCGTGCCAGGTGGGAGGGGTGAGATGAGCAATGAGAGAAGCGCACTCCAGCGCCAGGAGGCATCTGCGACGCTGCCATCACTCAGCGGTAATTCAGGGGAAAATAAAAATATAAAAATGCCTCTGAGGGACCACCGCAGCGGAGACGACCACTTGGGCAGTTTTATTGTTTTATTATTTTATCATATCTCTTTTTTTTTCTTTTTTTTGCAAACAGTGGTTTCAGTTCATGGAAAGACATCACCACTCGCTAAAGTTGCACTTTTACTTAAAAATGTATTTTGGAGGGTTGAAGTTGTCGGATGAAAGAAAGGCATTTGCAAGACCGCCTGTGAGCTCTTCTGTGAATAGCTATAATAATATCATCATCTATGTATCCATAATTGCTCCACAATGCAGACTTTGTCAGGATGGCCATGCATTGGAATGTTCAAGTCCTCAATAAGAAGGGGGTTTTGCATGCGAGAAAAACAAACTGGGGTGCCTGGAGAACACCCGTGGCATTGGGAGGAATAGTGCTCCAAGGTCCGCAGAGATGGGTTCACAAACCCACCAGCTGTGTTGCTATCTCGCAGCTCAGTAAATTTGGGAGCTTCGCAAATCTGTGTAAGCCCACTGAAAATCGCTTCAAAAGTGCTGAACCACACCACATCCCTCCTATTGTCCCTTTTCCCTGGTTTCTGACCAACTTGCTCAATTAAAAAATATTTTTAATCATATCTATTACAAGATCAATGGTGTTGTTTGTTGCAGGCTGCTTCACATGTTGGGTTCTGGGCCTTTGCTCAGCAACCAAGATAAAAAAAAGAATTAAGTATTGTGTGAAATTAGGCGTCACACCTTCTTAAACAGCAATACAAATAATAAATCAAACAATTATCTCACACTATCTAAAAAAAACACAAATGGGCTAGAGCAGAATACTTCACTCGAGAGGACTGCAACAGAAGAGTTAAACTGATGAGAGCTGAAACCAAGCGGAGAGGAGGGGAGGGCCAGGGTAGAGGCGATGAGCAAAGGAACGATGACTCCTACGTGCACATGTCGGAGATGAGTTATACCACAGCTGCAATTGCCATGGAACAATGGAGTCAAAAAGCAGAGGTCTCCATCGGTCAATGGAGGGGGAATGGAGGGGGAATGGATGGTGGTGGTGGCGATGACAATCGGTACCTTCTTCAGGGTTCACAGCCGCGGGATAGTCACCCCACGGAAGAGTGATTTGACAGCAAGGGTGGGGGTCCAGACATGCTTCGATGCCCGCCTCCTGATGGAACGGAGAATCAAAATACAAGCAACGGTCAGCCAGTGGCTTGTGACGTGTCACAAAGTCACCGCCATTGTGTTTTTACACAATTGTATTATTTAGATTTTACACAATTGTATTATTATATTTTTATTTTACACAATTGTATTAGTTTAACCCGTAAGCTTTCCCGACCAATATTATTCATAATAAAGGTTTTTGGGTTAGATCGCGTTATTTATAAATGTGTCGTAACCCTCCACCACCCGACACGGCCAATCAGAAAAAAAAGTGTCACGTTGACAAAAGACAATTAGTTCACTACTTTAGCTGTTGAAAAGTGAATCCACAACATTTACAGTTTGAATACGACGTTTCGCTGGTAATTACATCCAGCATCATCGGGCAATTCGCCACAATTGTATTATTAATATTTTACACAATTGTATTATTTAGATTTTACACAATTGTATTATTATATTTTTATTTTACACAATTGTATTAGTTTAACCCGTAAGCTTTCCCGACCAATATTATTCATAATAAAGGTTTTTGGGTTAGATCGCGTTATTTATAAATGTGTCGTAACCCTCCACCACCCGACACGGCCAATCAGAAAAAAAAGTGTCACGTTGACAAAAGACAATTAGTTCACTACTTTAGCTGTTGAAAAGTGAATCCACAACATTTACAGTTTGAATACGACGTTTCGCTGGTAATTACATCCAGCATCATCGGGCAATTCGCCACAATTGTATTATTAATATTTTACACAATTGTATTATTAATATTTTACACAATTGTATTATTTATATTTGGCTGCATGAAGGAAAGGGGAGCGGCGGCGTGGTGGTTCGCACGCTGCGCTATGAACCCGGCGACTTGAGTTTTTGACTCCCGGACCTGGCTAACGTCAGTGGTGAGTGATATCTAAACCGGTCCTGGGCCTCCCCTCCCCCTCTTCCCTTCACCAATTCACACTGACCAGCGTGGTAAAATATAATCAAACAACCCTCATGACTGACACATCATGGCTTTTATCCAGCAGTGAACTGTCAAAGGGCCAGACATTAAACAAAACACCGAGGATACAGCGCAGGTCGCTGGGCAGGAGGGTGATTATATAGAAACCATGAGTTCAAACCATGTTCGGGGTCAACAAAGTCATCATCATCGTCCCTTATAAAGTCAATAACATGCGTACCACCGGAGAGCCTTTTGCATGGGAAATTTCGACCACTGGCTGAGGATCGCCAACAGAAACCCGCACGTAGACGCACCCCACCGAGCATTGATTTCACAAAAACTACCAATCTTTAAAAAGTGGAGCACCTTGAGTTTTGCAAGCGTGGGGCGAGGGCCGCCTTTGAAATGCTGCTCGAGACTCGCGGAAGCCGTTCGGCTGTTGTCGGCGGCAACCGGCGGAGCCGCCTTGTCGGAACCCAGGGCCTCAGGGTCGACGGCGCGCGCCGGCCCCGGGCTTGCGGAGGACGGAAGCGGCGTGGCGTGCGTTGGGGGCAGGTCGAGGGGCTGCAGACCGGCCCCCGCGGCCGCCTGCCTAACGGCCGGCACGGCGCTCACGCGGCCGTACCACGCCGTGACGAGCGGCACCGCCAGCAGGACCTCGGCCTGGCCAGAGGAGAGGAGCTGGGCCTGCGCTCGTGACACAGCCACCGACGAGCGTTACGCATCAACAAAGCGCAGCTGCCAACAGCAGCGGTACAATTCAAACACGGCTAAATTGAGATTCGTAATGGATTGTTTTGGGTGAGGTCACCAGCCGACATGGTCAAACAAATTAAACTTTTCACGTGCGCGAGAGTTTAGCGTGCCAATTATTATTCCTTTCACTCACCGGTAGCTTGTAAAAATTATTCTCAAAAACGAACATCAATTAGATGTGACGGTCCATTTAAATATACATCATCAGGACAAGATCCAGGAATCCAGAATTTAAATCTACGAGACTCCTTATAGAAATGTAGCTACTACAGGTACAGTTAATAAAACATTTAAAGACTATAGATTCTGCAAATAAATTGTTATAAACACAGTAAAATCTCTCGAAGGCAGAATCAGTGACGCCAGATTGAGGTTTCCCAGAATAGCTGCTGGAAAAAGGAAAAAAAAAACACTGAGAATAAAGAAAACTCCATGGGGGGATCTTTTTTTGCAAAAGCACTGCACAATTTTTATACAGAAGCCACTGGAGCTATTGCCTTTTTTTAATAATCTACATTGATAGCTAATTTCTTTAAAACTGCTTTTTGTGTTTACTTTGTTGTCCTTCCTTCGCAGGTCCGATAAGCACGGTTGGCTACGTACGGTGCGAATGAAGTTCAACGTACACACATACAATTACATCCAAAAAAGCTAAAGATTACAAGGTTGTGACCATCGGAGCGTGCGTGCTACAAACCGAGGCACCCCTGGGGCATGCACGGGTTCACCGATTGCATCAGTCGATCACATGACCTGCCCGCGGTAACCTTGCAGTGCCTCAGCTTCAGACTTAAAATGTCTTTGTAAAGTAACGCAAACATTTAAATGATGCGAAATGTATCGTATTTATATATTTTTAAAAAATCAAGGGCCACCTTTGAAATTTAGCGACACTTATTGAAGCCAAAAATGCATCATCAGATAAAGCCACGTAACAAAAAAACAATTAAATAAATTCACATTTCCTGAGCGTCGTCGCCTGCAAAGCAACCGCACGACTGCGCATACTCCCCAGCGATTACGGCAGTTTCCACGCTGGCCAAGCGCCGAGACGGAGAGGGCAGCACTCACCAGGAGGAGGTGCACGCAAGGGAAGAGGACAAGATCCGTGAGGGTGAAATAGAGGCCCTCTGCGAAGACGTGCTCCAGCGCGGGCAGCTGGGCCGTGACCACGCGCCGCACGCTGGGGGCCTCGCGCCCGGGCCCCGCGCCGCTCCCCACGCACGCCAAACGCGCCAGAGCGGCCGCCAGTTCCACCGTGCTCTCCTTGGCGGAAGAAATCCGGTGTGAGCACGTCGTTTGTAAGGAGTGCTATCGCCAATAGCAGCTGGTGATCTGGCAAAATAAGTTAACAGGCCTGGCTCTGGTGATGAGCACCCAAAAGGCTGTTAACTGGTGAAAAAATGTATTGCTTAAACAAATGCTGCATTATACTATCAGATTGGAAAGCAAATAGGCTGATGGACAAGAACATATTTAATTAACATGTGTAGATACAGAATGGAATTCTGCTTATATTATCTTTTACACAGATCAACATGGGTCAGAAAAATAGAGAAACATGGATAAACACTTTTCACTTTGACGCCTGCAAGTACATTTGACTCCCTATTAAAATTGGGAAACGCTCATTGGAGGCCTTGATTATGCAGTGTACATTTCCACATTAATGACAGGTGCGAGTCCATCCACTATGATGATCATTGTTGGCTTCCCACAAAGTGGTGCCAGTCACTTTCAATGACCCCTGGGTACCGGACTCTGCTGGCCTAGGAGTGACCCAGCACTGGCAAAGGACCACCACAAGGGCCCACGCCATCAGTGCTCACGCTCCGGAAGCCATGAGGCTGTCACTATTTGCAAGGTCGACCAAGGTCAAGCCGTATCGCTCCGATCAAGAAGCGAGTTCAGGACTCCGGGTCTGGATTCCATGAGGTGGGTTTGGGCTCTCGGCAATTTCTCTGGCCCAGCACAGTGCAAGTATTGTGCCAGCATGCTTCCAAACGGCTGTGAAAACGAGGCATTGGTGTTTTATTAACCCAATACAGTTCGTCCGTCCACGTGCTAGAGGAATTCAGTGCGGTTTCTCAGTGCATCGTATGTTCTACCTGGCCCGCATCACCACACATGGCCGGCTCCTGCTGCTGCTGCTGCTCCCGCTGCTCCCGCTGCTCCTGCTGCTGCTGCTGCTCCCGCTGCTCCCGCTGCTCCTGCTGCTGCTGCTGCTCCCGCTGCTCCCGCTGCTCCTGCTGCTGCTGCTGCTCCCGCTGCTCCCGCTGCTCCTGCTGCTGCTGCTGCTCCCGCTGCTGCTGCTGCTTCTGCTGCCGTCCCCGCAGCTTAACGCGCCGTAATTTGTCGTCGTTGTGCACACGGACAGGCTCACCCAGCCGACGCTCCAGCTCAAGCACCTCTAAAACGGTGGCCAGGATAGGATGGGGATATATGTACACACAGTTCGGTGACATGCAAGACAGAAAAGATACTTGACATTAAATTTGGTTCTGCACTTCATTTGGCTAAACTCCAGCTCTCAGAATGAAAATATAAGATTGAATGTTACGCAAAAAAACATTAATCCCATATGCAGATCGAGTGGGAAGGTTCCCCCTTCTCCTGTCTGTGACAGTTGTCTTTTGATCGGATCTCAGAGGTATCTCCGAGGAGATATCCGCTTCTGTGGAGCATTCTCGAAGATGAAGGGTTGCAATGCAATAGGCTTTCGCGACCGATATCATCCATAAGAGGTTAGTCACGTAAACAAAACATGCCAATTTGTTATTAGTACAGCACACCGGTGTGTTGGAGAGTAAACCCATAGCATTCATATTTCGAGTATGACGTTTCACCAGTAATTACAACCAGCATCATCAGGCAAAAGCCAAACACCGGTGTGCTGTACTAGTAACGAATTTACATATTTTGTTTACGTGACAAAGCGTACTAATTGGCTGTGTCGGGCGGTGATCCAACTCCAAAAACCTCGATTATACATTGCACTGCTCTGCGAGAGATTCGAATGGATTATAATTCGTCTCATGACGTGGACGTGGGGGGGGGTGGAGAGGAAGACAAAAAAACTAAAACGAATGCGGAACGTCCCGGTTCAAGAGTGGAAACGGGAGAGGAGTGCCGCCCCATGCTCGCCACGCGTGGGAATCCACAAAGAGCTCTAAGTGCCACTGCTGGTGCGCGTCTCATCGCTTCACAGCCGTGCGGGAGAGCGGGGGGGGGGGGCGGCACCTTGCGGGAGAGAGGACCGGCGACACGGTGGCTGCGGACTGCTCCGCACGGCGTTCACGAGCGACTGCACGGCGGCTGGGAAGGTGACCTCGCAGAGACGAGTCCACTGGCTCACCTGATCCCACGCGACATCACGGCACCACGGGGGAGGAGGGCAAAGTCAAAAACACTCAACAACTGACCCTGCAACCCCAAGCACGACCCTATTGCTAACAGGCATGCCTGTACAAATAATAAACAATAATTAGTTTTAATATATTATCATTGTTGCTGTTGTTGTCAAGCCAGGCAATGTATTTTAACTATCGCTGAGATGTTTACTTTGTAATTAGTTGGTCGCTCGTAAGTTTCGCACCTAACCCACACTCGCACGCCCTGGTGATGAGCACCACCCATCGCTCAGTTACCAGGACTGGTTTTACCCTTTTGGCTGTGCTTGACTTGGAATTTGTTGAACTGTGGAAGTAAAACCAGCAATGTCTATGGTATGCCCACCAGTGCAGCAAAAACCAGGTCGGTGGTGAAATTTTGTCCTCAATAACATTTTACGCGAGTATTTTGGACAATGTAAATCAACGATAATTCATGTTTCTCTGGAGATGACTTGGTATTTGGAGTTCTGAGTTTCCCGACCAAACGGGCGCTTTGAGCACATCCCAAAGGCTCGACGTTTACAACTCATTATACACCGCTATGCCACTTATCGGAAGATGACCTCAGCTATGTCTTCTTTCTGTTTAAAGGAGACACAGCTAGAGGACACAATAAGTGGACGGGGGGAGCAATTTCAGGATAAGCATCGGTCCACCGTTGGCCCTTGGGAGCAGCTGTAAAAATTCCCACTGAGCAGGTGCAATGAAAATTCTTGGAAGCGCCAACTCCTCGGAAGAAATGTATAATTATCTTGGAGATTCAACACTAAATAATCAACGTTAAACATTTACCATTGAGATAATTTACCCACTCTTCGTTTATTTGTTTCCGAAATATCCAGTGATGACTTGAGTTTATCTTTTTTATTGCAAGAAAAATAAGGAATAGTTCCTTACTCCAAACTTATCAGCAAGGAATTAAAGGATTGCGTGTAAAATTTGTATCATTTAACGTGGAGTTTGCGTGTCTCTCTCCCCATAGTCACGCAAGGATTTTTCTCCGGGTCCTCCGGTTTTTCCCTCCACATTTATAAACATGCGTTTAAGATTGTTTGGCTGCTATGCATTTCCACATGATTAGCCACTTTGTTGAGCTATCATTTGTGGCCAGGTCGCTTCTAAAAAAGAGCAGTATAGCTCAGTGGGCCTTACCTGGTACATTTTTTTTTTAAATAGTTCAGTTTTAATTGCTATATAAACACGCACGACGAATCACGAACATTGTGCTCAACAATGCAGTGCTTATTTGAGCCACGTTTCCCGTGATGTCAGAGTGTTCAGTGTGTCCTCAATATTTGCTTGCACTTCGTACGGAAATATTTTTCATGCAACCACGGCACGTGCTGTTACGTTAAGAAAGTGAACATCGTGGGACTGCGCGTGAACTCACTGTGACCCTCGCATCAGCTTAACCTGTCTAGAGATCGCACGGGGGGTGCCGTGCGCCAGAACACCTGACTAGTGAAAAGGTATTCCTCAGCCACGAAAATCCTCCACGAGCACCTCTCCCAAACAGACTCGATAGCAGCAAGCAGGACGTCAAGATCGTTACCTGCGATTCACCCGCACGCCGATGCAACCTGTCAAACGCTAACCCTCATAAAACCACGCCACCCTTCACTCCCGCAGCGCCACACAACACAATCTTCATCTATAAACACTTTAGTTCAACAACTTTTGAGAAGAAAAAGATGTTTGCTGCAGTGTTTCTGGCTTTAAAAAATGCAAAGCTATAGGTAGATGATCCCTTTACCCGAGGGTATATCTGGCCTACTACTTGCTGTTCCACGCTGGGCAGATGTGTTGGAGGTAATTGTGGATAGAGGTGGGGAATCAAACTCAGGGCACCAGGTTCTTAGGGCCGGGCGATAACCACACTCCACTGCCCCTATCGTGTAAACATAAAACACTCTCAACACCCTGACTACAGAGCACAGTGCGCGCCGTGTGTGTGTATGTTTACACGTGGTGGAATTTAATTAAACATATTATCGCTCCAAAGACGAAAGGCTATTCGATGAAAACTCCAAGGAGGGGGTGGGGGGTATAAAGAATTAACCGCTTCAGTATTTGAGGGAACGTGAATATTGCGTTGGGCAGGTGCCAGCGAATTGACTGCAAGCAGCTGTTATCTCAACAATGGACAGGGTCTTTCAAAAACTAAAGCTAATAAGATTAAATGCTACGGTCAAACAGAGTGCATGGCTTCCCCACGAGTAAACGTGGAAGAGGTTTCTGTTGTGCGTTTGGAGAGGGCTCCGCAGTGGGCATCTCCACCGGGGCTCTGTGAAGTGGCTTCGCAGAGAATTTGCTCGAGAGCGCTCTCGTGGATTCCCACTGCAGTGAAGAGTAACCAAGGGAAGAGCATGCGTCCGCACAATTTACACTCTGTACATCATGAGAAAATATCCTCCGGGGAAAGCAAAAAAAAAAGTGTGCAGGCCCAAAGTCCATACGTTTCAAACGTTAGCTTAAATTAATTGCGAGTAAATAAAAAAAGACCATTATCCTATTGATGGTTTTTGCTAACTTATATTTTCGTCACGTTGTAGTAAAGTGTTCGGTTTCGGTTCACTGCTTTAATTGTACAATTTTCTCAAACAAAGTGATCTTCATTTAAGGTTACGGATGGTAACAGCTCGAAATAAAAACATGATGGGAGCAGTGGTGCAGTGGTGAGCACACCGCATTTTAAAGCTGGCTACCTGGGTTCGATTCCCGGCCACGGCTAACATCACCAGTAAGCGAGCGATATCTGAATCCATTCAGAGCATTCTCCTCCCCCAACCTGCACTGACCGGCATGGTGAAGTATGGTCAAACATACCCCCCCACCCCCATGACTGACGCAACATGAGGGAACATTCATCAAAAAAGTGGGTCGATGAAGGGCTGTAAATGTTTCACTGTACATTTCTTTTTTTTTGTGGAAGAATATAATTTTTTACATTAAAAAGTCACACTGCTGGCTCTGTCGCATCCACACACAAAGTTCGCTGACATAAAATACCAACATGACATGTTTGGGAATTAGCGGATCAACCACTTCCTGTGAGATCTACCACACCTCTGTGCCACACTTGTTCTCAGAGTATACATTTTTTTTATATCTAGATGGAAAACTCATTACTTTAGAACTGTTCTTTGTGTTTAGTTTGTTGTTCTTTCCTTAACACCTCCAATTAGCACAGATGGCTACGCACGGTGCGAAAGAAATTCAACGTACATACATACATGTGCACAAACGACGTCAAATTGGTTATAAACAAAATAGTTATACGGTCTTAGAATGATGGAGTTGTTTTGATTTGTTAGTCCAGCATTCTTTCTGTGTCGCATCCAGATCACTCTGAATACACTTGGGCTTTTAAAGTAAGTTTATCCAGGTAGATAAAACTAACAAAACTCCAGCTGACCATAATCTCCAAGGGGGGCAGAAAAACAACAAAGATCAAAAACCGATGTGTGCGGCAGACAGCGTGCAGCTGGCCAAGTGCGGAGGAACAGATGTGCAGAAGCACTTTCACATAATGGTACGTCACGAGCATAACTTTATTCCGACGTCTTGTGTCGGGTTCATAAACTAAATACTAAATGTTTGAATGTTTCTCCAAAAGTACAACGCACTCACGCGTGGAACAATAACGCAACGCATTCTATATACGATACCGTTTTGTCATCGGCTTATGATCAGCTTCTGGATTCACTACTTAAATAATCGGCTCTTGCAATGTAGCTAGTGTAAAGTTTACATTACAACCTCTTTAAAATATATTATTGTATTAAAAATGTGTTCTGTAGAGTCCCTTTTTCAATCCACTGAAAGTTAAACTCCTTCACAACGCTGGTAGGTGCAGGTTGAGGGCTGGGATCGTGGATGTGGGACAAGGCCAGTTTTCCCGTGGGACACCTTCCTCCTAACCAGTGACATTCACTTCATGGTCTCCAGGAGAACGATAACGCACAAAGTTAATAGGTAAAATATGCCAAAGTACCTTGGCCAGACGCAACTTGGACAGCACAATGCAGCGACATGGCTGAGCGGTAGCGTGTTTGCCACTTGTTGCAGACGTCTGTGGTTTCGACCAGTAAATAATAAAGCACCTTCTGCTGCTTCACAGTAGACGTTAAATGTCATCCCGTGAAAGCAAAATAATAGGCCATGTCTGTTCTGGTGTCAAGGTTCCAATTTGCCAAGTTTGAAATGTATCTGCAAATTAATTAACCGGGTAAAACCACAAAGCAAACTATACCCACCTGTAAAGCATAGCGCCTCCGTGGTAACTTTTGTGCTTTTATAAAAGGTGCAGATACCAAATGTACAATACGACACCATCTACTTGAGCATCCCACCGCTGCACGAGCCCGCGTTCAAGCACGCGCTCAACACCGTGCCGCCGCGTCGCCGGCGGGGCATCGCGCAACGGGGCCTACCTCGGCGCAGGCCTTGAGGCACGTCTGCCTGAAGCCCAGCAGCTGCAGCAGCACCGCCCGTCTCCTGGCCGCCCTCTGCACCAGGAAGCGGAGCACCACGGCGAGCCCGGCCCGGCACAGCTCGGCGCCGGGCCGCTCCGAAGCGGGCGGCCCGGCGCGCTTCCCCGGACCGGCCGAGCCGTCTCCGCTCGCCGCACAATTCGGCACGCCCGGGAGCCCGCACTCGCCCTCCGTCGGGCCGACCCGAGCGGCGCCCTGCGGGCCGCCCGCCCCGTCCGAGGCGTCGTCGATCAGTGCGGGCAGCAGACAGCGCTGGACGATTGGCGGGAGGTCCGAGCGTCGTATGGACGTAACGTGGAGGCCGGGCGGCGCCCAGGTCGGCGTGTCGTCGATCGCTGCTCCCTCCTCTTCGGACACCAGGTGAACCTGACAGCCGCAACAGCCAAGCTTGTCGTGTTCTCGTATGGTATGGTTTATGAGACGGTATTTTTAGGTTCATCCTCTTCATTTTTTTGTACATTTTTTACAATTCCATCCCAATTGTGTTGTGGGTATCACACCGTGAGATAAAGCATTCATCAGGATCGCTCGCATAGCAGTGGAACCCTTCATGTTAGAGAACGGCCCACGGAACTGGATATCAAAGAGTTGCCTCCTAGAAACCTTCAAGTGACCTAAGATCGACAAACAAGAGGGCAGCACTTTCCCACTTGTTCTGCATGAGAGTTATGGTGATTGCTCGGCAGTAAAAAAATAAAATATTCGAGCTAGAATTGAGATAAATTAAGTGCAAAACCAAATTTACCCATGCAGTAGTACTTCATAATGAAACACCAGTATATATTCACGTGTCTGAAGACAAGTATTTTCAGTCGCCGCATTCTGCCAGCTGTACCACTGAGATTTGAAACATTGACAAAGCAAACGTAACGCAGGTTGAGCACGTCCGAAGCATCCGTCAAGCCAGCGAGTTGGCATCCTGCCGGGTTGCATCATGCATGCTCGCAGCTTTCCGTCTCCCATGTGTGCCATCTCCTCTCATTCCACCATGGTATCCCTGCAGAGCATATCTAAGTACGTTTGTAAGTTTGTCGAGAGATGCATGCGTGGAATTACGCCGAGACAGGAAAACGCACACATGAATGAGGGAACAAATTAAATATATATCAGAGACACAGCATTTGTTTGGGCAAATGCGGTGGTTGTCGTAGACACGTCCAAAGCTTTACATCTTCCTTCACCTGCTCATTGCTTACACCTCACACCTCCGATTAGCACGGTTGGCTACATCCGGTGCAAAGGAAGTTCAACAGACATACCTCGATTCAGCTTCTTTCCTCGCAATGACCAACTTCCGAAATCCCTGCCATCGTCTCTTTTACAAAGATCGTTAAAACCTCGCTCGATGCAATAAACGTATCAACTCTTTATTTATGACACCCTCAACAGTGCCAAGTGTAGATGGGCGCTGAGCAACCAGGAAGCCACGGTGGTGAGATGTTGACTCCCTCGCCTGGTATGCAGGAGGTCGTTAGTTCGATACCAACCCTGACGCCTGCTGGATATTTGGAGTTTGCATGTTCTCGCAATTTTCGTGTGGATTTTTCCCCGGGTCCTCCAATTTTCCCCTCCACATTCAGAATCATGCATTTAGAGTATTTAGCTTCTATGAATTTCCACGTGAAAAGCCACTTCGTTGAGCTATCATTTGTGGCCAGGTTCCTTCTGAAAAATAGCTATATAGCTCAGTAGGCGTTACCTGGCAAAATAAACAAAATGTTTACGGTTAAAGGCGAACACAGTAATGTTGACAAACACACACAGAGCACATAGCTGGCACACCTTGACTGCCACATCCTGGCAGTAGGACAGCAAGAAGAGGGTGATTGCCGTCTGCAGAGGGGTGACTGTGCCACTTGCTGTGCCCGTGTACTCCAGATAGAGGTGGGAGAGCTCTTCCTGTGTACCCATGGCTGCCACCGATTATTGCAAGTCACCGCTCTATTAAAAAGCACACGCAAAGAATAAAACATTGAATTGATGAGAAAATTAAGTACATTTTTGTCGTGCTAGAATTCAGCATTGATTATTTTTAAAAAAATATGCCCGGAAACACAAGTATATCCCAAAAGCCATACAATTCTATTTAAATTATATTTATATTTTGTTTATGTATACTAGCAATATACAAGCATCAAATTATTATATCTGAACATATTATTTGATATTGCATGACATGTGCCTTAAATGAGTTGTTATTATTGTAAAAATACAGACGGCATTGTAAATGAAGTTAGTGTCAAATGCGTTCATTGAATAACGTCGTGATGTTAAGTGCAGAGTTTGAGGAGGCCCTCATCCAGCAGTGGATTGACAAAAGGGCCAAGTCAGAATTCCAATACCGAGGAATGCACACAACACAAAAGCATTCACAGAGAGGATGGGAAGCAGCTAAGCCTTGCAACTTAACAACGTAAAATAGCACCATTGTATACAAGCAGGTACATTGAATGAGTTCAGCAGGCCCCATTGTTCACAAAATGTAAGCTAAACGTGTAAGCCTTTGTATCTTAGAAAAGGAAGACATCTGACGCGATCAGCGCGTTATCTCCACGCCGATCACAGCGTAACTCCGAGAACGTTAATAACGCTCAAGTATTTTGTCTACAAAGCGCAGACACCCACAAGACTACCCCAGCGATCTGGTTATTGCTGCACTCCTGCAGCGGGTTCCCATCGACAGGGCGTTATAGTTTTCATTCCGACAGTGCATATTCCTGAATATTTAGTCTGAGGATTCCAAACAGAGCAACTCACTTCCCCCGAACAAGTGCAGGTGCTTTGTTGGGCCTGCAGCGCTCGCTACGGTTCCTGCATCGCATCAGCGAGCTCCTGGGCGGTGAAGTGAGGCCGTGACACGCGGCATGCGGGCGACAGGGCGGGCGAATGAGGAAGACGATGCAAAAGAAGTTCAAAATACATACTCAAGAATGGCCATGAGTGACCAACAAGCTGACATTAGCCCTCATTACCTCCAGCATCTCTCCAGACTGTTGTACCCTCAACCAGCACTTTCACCTTTGAGAATGTTAAAGCATGATGGGTGCAAGTTTCCTATCGTCAAACTTCCAAATGGTAAAATCTTCTTTTTTCCCCATTCAAAATGTGCAGCAAAAACATTGTCAAACTAAAATCGCCGAATGTATTCCTGTAAACGTTGATAAAAACAAACATTTGTGTAACTGAAATTATGATTCAATTAACCATCCTGGTGATTTAATAAATTGTCACGACACAGGGTCGTGATCATATTCCAGACTGGGTTCACCTTTGTACCACTGTGAACACGTCATTTACAATGTAATGTAAATATACGCATTCTCACATGTGCAATTTCATTAACGTTTTGCGAGCTTAAGAATCGCAATCGACGAATCAAAATTCTTCCTTCCACCCATACTCATTTCACCCAAAATTTGACGTGGTTTACAGAATGTTTACAATTCTGCGGTATAGTTCCCCTCTCGGCGGTGCAGGTTGCTTCACCACAGACGCGCGTTGTTCATCAGTAACACTGGAAGAGGTCCAAGCAATTTCCTTTTGCCGATTTAACACACGCAGGCTCAGCCAAGAAACTCAAATTGGTCAACTTTACTTCCAACTGTCCTCACGTCAGGGGAAATGTCAGATTTAAAGCCATGTGCCGCAACACTTATTGACTCCGGACACACCAGCAGCCTCGGCCGGATGAGACAATATAGGCATGGATATCACAGGTCCCACCAGCGGGTATTGATAGTTTCAGGGGAGCAGCGACGCAGTGGTTAGAGCCCTGCAAAGTAAATCCAGCGACCCGAGGTTGGTGCTTGGCAACGTCTAACACTGGCAGAGAGTTGTATCCAAATCGTTTCTGGCCGCCCCACCAAACCCCACCGACACTGGCCTGCGTGGTGAAGTATGGTCAAACAACCCCCAAACACGAAATGGTGTGGAGGACTTCGTCCAACAGAAGATTAACAAAGTGCTGTAAAGTATGACTTTCTGTTTCATCGATAAAATGGCCAAACTTCACATTTCAACGATGATACACATACTGTGTGCGATTGCTGCATACACGGACACACCATGTGTAACTGCACGCAGTGCATTTGGATCGTCCGCATGACAAGCAAGTATCGTCTTGCAGGAGACTGACTCAGTGGATTGATTTCCATCTGGGAAAACTCCAGGAATGGAACATATGACTGGTTCTCCGATGTGTTGTTGGATTGTACCTCAAGTTGTTTGGCACGATGTCGTACGTTTCACTCTGTGAACATATCACTTAATTTGCTGGGAACTTCATTAACTGAAGCTCCCAGCACGTGCAGCGAAACGTTGGACATTGTGCCCACAAAACCAGGGTACAACCAGGGTCGGATGAAGGCACGGGGCTTTAGGGGCTCCAGCCCAGGGGCCTCCGCCAGCTAGAGGGCCTCCAGAGATGAAGTGAAAAGTTATTTCATTTGTGAATGCTGAATTTTATTTGTTGTTAGCCTTGTAAAAGTAAACTTTGTTTTCCTTTTGAAAATATCACTGGAGGCCTCACAGCACCTGCAGCCCAGGGGCCTACAAAATAAAAATCCGGCCCTGGGCATAACCCGACAACACACATTCGGGAGCCATGCAAAAACAACCACAAACACCTACACAGTGTAAAACATGGCTGGTGCATATGAATAAAACTGTCACTGCACCTGTGGTGTGACTATTTTCCCCCACTTCCCAAAGACAATATTTTGCACATTAATGGTTTAGGTGTAAACAAGTGTCTGGTGTAAACAGACAAGACGAGCTGATAAGGGGCTTCCGGGGATTTATATCTGCCAAGAGTTATGTGGATGAGACTCATCAAACCACATTCCACGACGAAACTGGACGCAGCCCAACATGCACTCCACTCACGCATAGCGGAGCCATTTACCCACGAGAAACACTTACCATAAAACCCCAGGCCTGACCCCATCCTCAACTCATGAACAGACAAATAAACACTAGAATTACACACAAACAGATTGGCAAGACAAGTGACAACAAAGGCTGAAGGCCAATAGACTCCACCAGCAAGCGGTGCTTAATAAATTTAGGCCCTCAACTGAATTGTGGATTAGAAGACCCACAAGACAGGCATCACAGAGAAACGCGAAGGGTCAGGTTCCAGTGCTGGGGAATGTTTTTTTGTTATTTTGTCAGATTTTTGGGTAGGGCCATGGGTTCTGGCCATTTCATAAAGATTTTAAATTGACCCTAAAAATGTAATTTCATAAACAAGATTAAGAAAAACAATTCTACCTTTTAGTGTCCATTTTTAATGTCAATGCATGACTACATGCGAGACTCAACAAGCTCCACAACCCACATGGGTTATTTGACCATATTTCACCACACCGGTCTGTGTTGGTTGGTGAAGGTGGGCAGTACAGATGTGTGACCGTCATGCACAAACAGGCTGGCATATGCTTGACAACATGGAGCCCTATGGAAAACCTTATAGGCACGGGGATCATCTATCCAAGCACGATCCAGGTACAATCCTACTTAGCTTTTAAGATTTGATGAGAACGGGCAGGTTCGAGGTGACTTGGTCAAAGGCAGCATATATCGAACGGGCTATACATTTGTGGCGTGGACATGCATTTTTTTCCCACTGCACACTTCACCTGCTATCGTGGAGCTACAGTCCTTTATCAAAGACAACGATACTTGTTTGGCCGCACTACCCGTCATACACCTAGAGTCTAGGACGTCCCAGCAGCTTCATAACATACGCACACTGCTCACTTGCTTGCGTGCACCTGCGCGCAACTGCACACGGTGATTTACTGGCATGCGTAAATCACTTTGAATGCGCGCTGCCAAGAATGCCTCTACCTGTGGGGAGGGAGGCAATGCGAGGGTGGTGGGCCCACGTCAATCTGTGCGACGACGAGGTTAAACGTACACCAATACCACGGAAGCTTTAACGAGGCACGTTCACTCGCACAGGATTTCACTTGCACGGGACCACACGCACCATAGCCGAGCGTTATCTGGATGGTGTTTGCATACCACGCTCTATAAAATTCGATATCATGACTCGCCTGGCTAGCACTTGCATGGCAGACTGCCTGGGAATACAAGGTGCTGTGTAGGCATTCCTGAGAGGTGTCCAAAGTACTGAACAGCAACGGATTTTTTAATCTGTGTGGAGCTTTGAGTATTATCCTCTTTAATATATGGGTTTTCTCTGGGTATTCTGGTTTCTTCCAACGTGCCAAAACATCCTAAAAACCTCCTGAGTTTTAAGACTCGGTGAGATCTCATAAAGGGCACGAGTGTCTCATAGAACTTATTCTTTGACTGCATGTAGCTCAAATGGGCTTATTTAATTCAATGAACCACAGACGAGTCGTGTGCTCACCATGTCAAATGTAACGGGGTCCAGGTACGGCCAAGAAAGCGCGTGCCCACACCGCTTCTGGTGAAAGAGTCTCCACTCGAGAGCTCTGGACAGTCCCTCAAGAGCTCTAAAGGGTAGTTGGCCTACTCTTCCACACTGCCTAGACATCTTGGAAGATGTGGGAGTACCCACACTTTACCCTACCACACACGACCTGCTGATCGACTAACTACATGCCCAGTGCTGTGTGGGCAGAGGCAGGGGTGGATTTAATAAACTTGCCCCATTGTTTAAATTGCCACGCTGGGAGGTAGAATAGGTAACCTCTGGCTTGCAAGTCCAGTGTGCTAACTATTATACCGCAACAACATTCACTGGGTGTGCTGTCAAAATTAATACATTTAAGACGTTAATTAAATGCAATGGTCTTTTTTGTATCACTGTATGCAATACATCGTATGTTTTGATAAACCAGAAAATTGTAGTTTAATAATGCAGCGTGCTGCAGACAGTTTGACAAGTAACCCGATAAGGCCACTAAAAGACTCCGATCCCACACTGCAATTATGTCAGTCCTTAAAAC